TCAGTCCTAGAACGCATACATCTGTAGGTAATCAAGCCTACGATTGTAACTCTAAACTTCAGTATAAAACACTCCTTGACATAAGAATGCAAACAGTCACTCACCTCTCACTGCGTCTTGCACGCTACTGACAACCAAACACTATCAACTCCCTATAAGTAATCCACCAGAACTTCCCCTTCCACCTCTGGAAGTTCACAACCCTAATATCCTTAGGTTCTTCCGGGCTTCACTACCAGGATCCTCTGCAGCTCCTCCCGGCTGCTATCATGAAGTTTCCTTGTGCAACTACGGTGCTTCACCCTTCTGTTAGGTTCTTCCACAGCTCTCTTGGCTGCTACACCACCTCTACAGAAGCACGTGACACTCCTCTTCACTGCTGCTTCTCCTCACAGCTCGAGGTCCTCTGCTCCACTACCTTGGAGTCTCATCAGCTACATCATCTGCTGGCTTCGAAGTTCTCAGCAACTTCTTCCCCAAAAGACAAACCTGCAACCCATCGACGTTCCAATAAAATGTTCCCCTTTAACACATAAACAAAAATAACCACACAATATGCTTGCCTCAAACCTCTATCTGTCCTCTACATACAGTGAGAGTGGACTCCCCCGTTTTGGGCGGGTCCATACTCCACCTCGCCTGGCGGCGGTCCTCACTCGCTGGGAGGGTCTTCCTCCATCCGGAGCCAGGCTCCCTCAGTCGTCCGCCAGCGCTCAGAGGGGACGGACGTCGCTCCGTGTTCCTCCCTCTCCACTCTCTTATTTCAGGCCTTCTGCCTTATTAAAACATGTCTAACTTATAAAATAAACATCGCTACTGTCGCTGGGCACACGACCAACTACAATCGATCACTATGAACTGGCGTACATTGTGCTTACCACAGATTAACTGATCGAGGGCGCTTTCCCTCTGACGGCGTCTGGTCAGGGCGCTCCACACGGCCCACAATAATGCCTCCGGGCGGCTTAATATTCACTAATTATCGTCCACGACTTGAGACCACACGTCCCCAGCTCGATTCCACAGCTGGCACGTCTGCACACTTCTCTTCTCTTAGAGATATATCACTAGGGGTTCCCTTCTGACGGGAGCTCAACGGAGCGCGGCTTCCCCCTGCGATGTCTGGCACTCAAGTGAGGTCAAGGTCCTCCAGAAGCGAGCCTCACGCCTCCAGCAAAATGTCCACATCTCCTAGCCAGTCATTTATCTATTTCCTTACTTACTGCCCATAATCTTAAACTGTTACACATATCCAACCAACTATTTTACATATGCGTTATCACCTCAATACTTGCTAGACCTTCTAGTTAGGTCAGGCTTGCTGAATAACTCTCAAGAAGGGAGACTCGTTTCTCCTGCAGGCTGAGATCATAACACTTTCACGGACGGGTCATCTCTCGTCTGGGGCTTTGTGACCAGTGCTCACTAGGTTGGCCGGGGATGGTGGGGTCTGTCCATCTGTCGGGCTCACAGCACGGTTTGGGAGTTCGTGGCTGTCTGGTTTGCGCTTCGGAGGGTTTGGGTCACTCGGTATTCTGCCATTCAGCTCCATTCGGACTGTTCTCTGGCAGTTCTTTGCCGGAACCACAGGGTTTCTCTTAGGTGTTTGACCTTTGGGGTTTGTCCCTTAGAGTGGCTCGTTTGCTGGATTCTTGGGGTTCGACTAATCGTGAGGTTCATGTCCAGGGTGTGTCCTGTGTCCTGGCAGACAGCTGTCTCGTTTCATTCCTCTGTTTACGGATTGGCCAGTCATCGCTGACTCATTTCGTTGGCTCTGCCAGACGTATGGACTCCTGGCAATGAACGTCTTCGAGTTGGCGTGATCTAGGCATCGCCCTTTCTCTGTGGTGTCCTTACCTGCCTGCGAGGTGTTCACTGTGGATGCTTTTTGGCAGGACTGGTCGAGGTGTGGGTACCTGTTCCTCTTCTCCTGGTCCAGCTGTTGCTTCGGCTTCTGGCTCGGTTGGAGCCCATTCCCACGAGAGTAGTTCTTATGGTCCCTTGGTGGCCGGCCCAGCTTTATTTCAGACGCTGCTTGATTGGTGTCCGAACCCGGGACATTTTCCCGCGGCTCCGCCTTTTTCGGCAAGTCGGACTGGTCCTGTACGTGACTGGTTCGGCTTTCTCTTCGGCTCTTCGTGTCTGGTATTTTGACGCAGGTACCACCATCTCTGTGGTGATCAGGTGGCTTTGTTGATGGTGTCCCACCCGCGAGATTTGTCTCGACGACAGTATGACATTCCTGGTGTTTCTATGCACTTTTTCTTGTTCTTCGTAGGTTGTTGTTTTGTGCGGCGCTGGCAGAGCCGCTCCGGCTTGCGTTCGGGGTGGACGTCACATCTGCCCCGTTTCGTACGCTTTCTCATGTCTTGTTTCACCTCCGGCGTACTCATGCGTTGCCTGAGCTGTCCTGGTCCTTGATCAGGGTACCTTCTTATCTTCTCCTCAGTTTGTGGTAGCCCCTTTGGTTCAGGTTTCTGCTCTTTGGTACTGGTGGTAGGTTTGTACGTTTGCAGCTTTTCTCCGTCCTTCTGGCGACGGTTGAGATGGCTGCTTTTTGGAGGGGTTCTTGGGTTATTGATGCTTGATTGGTTCGGCCGGGGGTGCATCCTGTGTTGTTCAGTTGAATTTTTGCCGTTATCTGCGTACCGTGTCTGGGGATGCGCTTTGGGTTGATCAGGTTCCCCTCGTTCCCTGTTTCAGGGCTCGGGTCTCCCAGGTCATTCGAAGAGTTTTTAAGTCTTCCAGCCTGCGGTCTGTCCTTGCGCCTGTGCTGTTCGGACGTTTGCAGCTTTTGCTGCGGTGTTGGTGACGTCTAGGGCTCATTTCAGATGCAGGGACTTGAGGGTAGCACAGGTTCTTGGCCGCCCATTCTTTATGCGCATCTGCTCCTGTGCATTCTTGTTGCCTTGGGTCGCAGGTAGCAGCCTGTTATCTCGGCTTCACATTGCGGAGTTTGTGGCGGCTGCCTCCCGAGTCAGCGCTTTCTTTTCCTTCTCCTTGGGTATGAAGCTCCAGGGAGCCATAGGGGCTCCTCACAGAAAACCAGGGTTGAATGTAATGAAACGCCATTTTCTGGGTGGTTACCTTGACCTTGAGGTTACCTTGAGGTGCTTCCGGGGCTTAGCGTCCCCGCGGCCCGGTCGTCGACCAGGCCTCATGGTTGCCGGACTGATCAACCAGGCTGTTGGACGCGGCTGCTCGCAGCCTGACGTACGAGTCACAGCCTGGTTGATCAGGTATCCTTTGGAGGTGCTTATCCAGTTCTCTCTTGAACACTGTGAGGGGTCGGCCAGTTATGCCCCTTATGTGTAGTGGAAGCGTGTTGAACAGTCTCGGACCTCTGATGTTGATAGAGTTCTCTCTCAGAGTACCAGTTGCACCTCTGTTTTTCAACGGGGGTATTCTGCACATCCTGCCATGTCTTCTGGTCTCATGTGATGTTATTTCTGTGTGCAGGTTTGGGACCAGCCCCTCTAATATTTTCCACGTGTAAATTATTATGTACCTCTCCCGCCTGCGCTCAAGGGAGTACAGTTTTAGGCTCTTTAGTCGGTCCCAATAGTTTAGATGTTTTACTGAGTGGATTCTAGCAGTAAAGGATCTCTGCACGCTCTCCAGGTCAGTAATTTCTCCAGCTTTGAAAGGTGCTGTCATTGTGCAGCAGTACTCCACTCTAGAGAGCACAAGCGTTTTGAAAAGTATCATCATCGGTATAGCATCTCTAGTGTGAAAAGTTCTTGTTATCCAACCTGTCATTTTTCTTGCAGTTGTGACGGCTACTTTATTGTGTTCTTTAAAGGTAAGGTCTTCCGACATGAGTACACCCAGATCCTTTACATTGCCTTTTCGTTCTATGTTATGATTTGCCTGAGTTTTGTACGTGGTTTCCGTTTTTATATTTTCATTTTTTCCATAGCGCATGAGCTGGAACTTATCTTCGTTAAACACCATATTATTTTCTGTAGCCCATAGAAAGACCTGATCTACATCTGACTGGAGGTTTGCCGTGTCCTCTATGTTGCCTACTCTCATGAAGATCCTAGTGTCATCTGCAAAGGACGATACAGTGCTATAGGTTGTGTTCTTGTCTTGGGTGAGCTCCGGAGGCTCCCTGGCAACCCTCTCTCCCACCGGTCAGTGGTTTTTTCACCTTGGTTAAAGCTTAACTTCCGAACTGATGCTAGGCAGCCGGCGCGGTAGGTCCGGGGCTCCCCCTCCCCCTTTTGGGGTGGGGAGGGCTGCGCGGGCGATCGGTGCAGCAGTAAAGTGTGATGTTTGCTTGTTTGCTTGTTTCCTTGGGATTGTAAGGAGTTTCTTCCTCGCTGTTGGTTTTTTTGTTTTAATTTTTTCCCATGTGGGGTTTGTATTGTTATGCCTACCTTTCTGGGTGCCTAACCCCGGTCGATGGCAGATAAGGAAAACCCCAACCACAAGGGGGTTTTCCAGGGCCATTGCTCCCTGAAACCTCTCTGAAGGGGCCAGGTTCTGGCGCTGGTCCCTGGTAGTTCTGAACTCCTTGGCTAATGTCCCGATCTAATATAACATACATTAGCCCGATAAGCTCCAGGGAGCCTCCGGGGCTCACCCAGAAAATGGCGTTTCATTACATTCAACGCTAGTTTTTTAGGTGGGCCTAAAAAAGCTAGATGACTGAGGTTGTTTGGGACTAGATCAGCATTGTAGATTCTAGATGTAGATTTTAGATTAGATAGATGAGGAGCCTCCGAGATATGCCCAGATTTTGGCGTTTCATTACATTCAATGTTAGTCTTTTTGTTTTTGTTTGCCAGATATTCATTGACTGTTATGCAGTTTTTACTCTGATATTGTTTCTTCATCCATCCCAAATTTAAAAAAACACTGGTGCTCCTCAACTTTCAACCTTCCACAACTGCAACTGACCAACTAAAAATGTACTTGTCTTTAATATTGTACATATAAATTCATTACTCACTACTCACTGAATAATTTTACAAGTAATGGTTTTTGTTTTCCAGGCACTGGCAAGAGTTGGGATATTTAATAATTTATGTAACAGGCCGGCCTGATATGCAACAACAGAAAGTCGTCTCATGGCTTGCCCAACATAATTTTCCTCATGGCCTTGTCTCCTTTGCTGATGGACTCTCGAGAGACCCATTAGGCCATAAGGCAGACTATTTACGTGTGCTAATACAGGTTAGTAACAATATGCCAAGTATTACAATAAACTGTGCTGTATGTATTGATCTGTTGACAACAATGGGATATCTTGCAACTTTTTCAGTAGTAGTTAATAGGATTTTTTTCATATTCATTCTCATTCACAGGATCATGCCGTGGTAATTATGGCAGCTTATGGCAGTGCAAAGGACATTAATGTATATAGTAGCATTGGCCTTAAACCTGAGCAGATCTATATAGTTGGAAAAGCAAGCAAAAAGCAGCAAGCACTTGCACAGGTAATGTTCATATTTAATTACTTATGCAGTTCAGTGTATCATACAGTGGAACCTCGATTAACGAATTTAATCTGTTTCAACACCGAGCTCATCATGTGAAACGCTTGTCTTTCAAAACAAATTTCCCCTTTTAAAATAATGGAAATAAAATTAATCCGTTCTACCGCCGAAAAACATCAATATGATATTCAATTTTTTAAATAATGGAGAAACCTACCTGACCTACACTGAACAAACCTTTGACTTTTTATTTAAATTGTTCAATTTTTTTTTTCCTGGGGGGAGCCCCTTTGGCTCCACGAAGCTTACTAGGCTGATATGCTAAAGTCAGACTTTGGCATCAGTCATGTGTATGGAGTTCTGTGGGCCTACCAGGGACCACGAGCCAGAACCTGGCCCCCCTCAGAGAGGCACGAGGAGCAATGGCCTATAGACACCACCATGTGGTTGGAAGCATTCTATGTCTGCCATCGACCGGGTCAGGCACCCAGAAAGATAAGCATCCCAAAATAAACCCCTATTCTGGTGAAATTATTGTTACCAAAAGCCAGAAAAGTGGATAGAACTCCCCTAAAAGTAACAAGCAAACGAGTATGACATCACACAACACTGCGCCGCTGTCTGCGCAGCTCCCCCCTCCCCAGGAGGAGGAAGGGGGGGTGCCCCAGATCCCCCATTCTGGCTATCCACCCGTCAGTTCTTAGGCTGATGCTTGAGACCCCAATCTTGTGCTCTGGCTCCAGACATAGTTTCAGCACTGTGCTTTGAGTGTGGTGGCTTTCTTCTAGGAGTGCGAGAGCCAGGAGTTATTCTCCAGTACTCAGGCTGCATGCATGCGCCTAGGGTTCCCTTCCCTAGGTGCCCTGTAAGTACTGCCCTTGGAGCTTGGGGTTACCTTCCACAAGTTCCTTGGGTCCTGCCTCGGCTGGGCCAATTTACTGCTCGGTTTTTCGGCCGCCCTTTGGGTACTTGGGTGTTTTGTCTCCCTTGTTTACCTTAGTGGTAAGAGGGTGTTTGCTCTGGTTCGGGGCGTGAGGTGCTGAGCAGCTTGTTTTCACCGATTATAGCGGCCGGCTCTGTTCCTCAAGGATACGCTGTCCTCTTGTGGGGTTTTCTTTTTCTTTTTGCCTTGTGGTGGGTTCTGCCCTGCTTATTTCCCACTTGTGCTTGACCTATTATGGTTCTTCTCTGGTGGTGCCCCCTGCTAGGTCCCCGTGATTGTACACGTTCCTGGGGTTTAGCTTTAGTGAGTTTGCTTGGTAGTTTTGGGCGTTAGTTAGCAGTACCCTGCCTGGGGGTTACTTGAGAGTGAGTCTCGTTAAGCACTCAGGACCTTGAGAAACCCGTTGTCAAGTTGAGAAACTTGACTCGGTCCTGGCTCCTGCGGAGGATGATCCTGGGGTGGGGAAGGGGCTGACTTGGGGGCCTTGGGCCCCGCTGGACCCTACCTGGTTTTTTTTTACCCTCTGAGCAGGCCTTGTTGTTACAAGGAGTGGGGTTCTCTTTTCCCCTCTGCATATGAATTGGATTTGGTGTCTTCCCCTCCTCGGGTTTGGTTCCATGTCCCCCAGGGTGCGTCGGTTCTGTCCTTCTAGAGGTTTTTGGCTTCTCGCATGCAACTTTCTGCAGTGCAGGCAGCACATGCGGCTGACCTCCTGCATGACCCGGATTATACCTCGGTGATGCATCTGTCTTCTTTCAGGTTTAAGACTTTGTTCCCTTTCTGGGTCCGTTATGAGGTTCCGGAGTCGTTCTGACTGGCAGACTGTCCTGCCTTTGCTTTGGAGTCTTGGCATTCTTACTGCCGTACCCATATGCTTGATTGGCATGAGGCCTCGACGGTGGTTCAAGTTTTCCTGGGGGGAGACCTGGAGCACCTCCATGAGTGCTTGTTTACCCCTGCCCTTCCCTGGGATGTGGGCATGGTGCAGCTCTGTGCAGGATCCCTCCCTCCCTTTCTACTGCGCAGGTTGCTGAGGACATGCGCGCCCATGGCCTTTTGGCTTCGGCCTTGCATTTCATTTCCCTCCTGGACTTGTCTTCGGATTGGTTTGAAGAGGATGTTGGGATGCTCTGGGCGTTCCGGGGTTCGGTGCCTTGGGCTCAGCAGCCCGCTAGTTGTGTGCCTTGCTGAAGCTGTTTGCGCCGATCCTGCGGGATGCAGTTTCCCTGTTCTATACTTCCCGGCTCGCATGTTGGCAGGCGGTGCTTGCCTCCTCCCTGGAATCAGCCTGGGCCCTGGTTCTTAGGATGTCTTCGCCTTTTTTGTCCTCTGCTTTTTTAGTATTCTGCCGTGGCGCAGTATATTCAGGCTGCTTCGGCTACTTGTCGGCCTATATCTGACTTGTTGGTTCAACGAGGGTCCAGGGGGGGGGGGCCTTCTCGGAGGGGTCGTGCCAGGGTTTGGGGCTCCTCTCGTTTTCGTAGGCCACAGGTGCCGGATTTGGGTTCAGCCCTGCCTTCGGACCTGCCTTCGGACCCGCCTTCGTCTGGTCGGCACGGTGTTCGCTTTGTGCGAGGTTCTGGGTCTCGGTATGGGGCGCCAGCCCTTTCGCATTTCGCCCCATTGATGGGGCGATGGAGGGGGGGGGCTTGTGCTGTTCAGTCACGCTTGGTCCCACGATTTGTGGGCGTTTCAGTTATTTCTCTGGGCTTGAGGTGTTGGGTGGCCCCCCCCTCCTTCGGGAGGTTCAGAGCTGGTGGGGCAGGCCTCTTCCCCTGCGCTCGGTCGAGTTATCTTTGAGTGGGTTTGCTTGGGCGTAGTCGAAACGACGATGTCCTTCAAGTGGGTTTCCCGTCTGTTCCCAGTACCGAAACGGGACTGTGCAGACCTGTGGTTTATTCTGGACTTGTCCCGTCTGAACCCCTGGGTTCATTACCCCATCTTTCGGATGACTACGCTATCCCAGGTTCGACTCCTGTTGGAGCTAGGCACTTAGATGGTGTCCCTGGACCTCTGAGACGCTTATTGGTACGTACCGATTAATCTGGGGATCAGAGACTGGCTTGGGTTTGTAGTGGGGCATCAGGGTTACCGCTTTCGTTGTCTCCCATTCAGGTTGAACTTGGCACCTCGCGTGTTCACACACCTTACCCGGGTCGTAGTGGCCCGTCTGTATCTCTTAGGTGTTCGGGTGTTGGCCTACTTCGACGACTGGCTAGTTTGGGTTCCCAGCTGGTCCAGTTGTGTGCTGGATAGGGATTTGGTTCTTTCCCAGCACGCCAGGTTCGGGTTCTTGGTGAACTGGAGGAAGTCCCATCTGGTTCCCTCCCAGGTTCGGACATGGCTGGGTCTTGTGTGGGACTCTCGGACCGCTTCCTTGTCTCTGTCTCCGGAGTCTCTCCTACACTGCGGTCCCACTTGTGCCTGTTTCTGGGGTCTCCTGGGTCACCCAGCAGTTGCTCGAGGGTCTATGTGGGAGCCTGAACTTCATGATGATGGTGTACCCGCCGGGTTGGGTTTGGCTTCATCGGCTGTTCTGGTTCCTTCGGGGACGTCCCTTTCGCCTCTCTAGCGATTGCTGGGTTCGGACCCCGGGGGCCTTTGCGTTGGCTGCTGCGTTACTGGCTTCCTCTTCGGGTTTTTCGGAGTTCAGTGCTTTGGCGCCTACCCGAGCCCAAGTTCGATGTGTTCACGGACGTGTCATCTCTCGGCTGGGGCTTTTTGACCAGTGCTCACCAAGCTGGCCAGGGCAAGTGGGGTCCGTCCTTCCGTTAGGCCCACAGCACAGAGCGGGAGTTTGCAGCGGTGTGGTTTGCTCTTCAGAGGGTTTGGGTCATTCGGTGTTCTCGGGTCGCCCGCGGATTGACAATCCGGCTCCATTCGGACTGCTCCCCGGTGGTTCATTGTCTGAACCGAAGGGGATCGATGCGGTCCTTGGCTCTTTGGCACTGGTAGCTTCGGGTGACTCGTCTGCTGAGTTCTCGGGGTTTGGTTCTCCTGGCAGTTCAGGTGCGGGGAGTATTCAGCCCAACGTCTTGGCCGATGACCTGTCTCATTTCGTTCCCCTCTCCACGGAATGGACGGTCGACGCCGACTCCTTCAGTTGGCTTTGCCAGACGTTAGGTCACCCCTAGGTGGACCTCTTTGCGTCTGCGTGGTTGCGACGCCTTCCCCTGTATGTGGCACCCTTCCCCAACTGCGAGGACGTCGGGGTCGAGGCCTTTCAGCAGGACTGGTCGAGGTGGGGGGTTCCTGTACCTCTTTCCCCCGGTTCAGCTGTTGCTCCAGGACCTGATTTGCTTGGAGACTTACCAGGAGAGAGTTGTCCTCTTGGCTTCGTGCTGGCAGGCCCAGCCATGGTTTCAGGCGCTGCTTGCTCGGTGTCCAAACCCGGAGGTTTTCCCGTGGCTCTTCCTCTTCCACCAGATCGAACCGGAACATCATATGGCTGGTTCGATCTTCTCCTCGAGTCATAGCGTATGGTATTTTTTACTTGAGTTTATCATCATTTCTATGGTGATCAGTGGCTTCCTTGTTAGTGTCCCACCTGCGGACTTCGTCTCGGCGGCAGTATGAAGTTTCCTGGCGGTTCTTCCGTTTCATCTTGCGTCTTTGTTGTTGTACTTCGCTTTTTGTTAGGGGTGGTGTTGTCCTTTCTCTCTTGGTTATTCCAGGACCATCACCTTATGCCTAACACTTGTCACCTTGTATCGTGCGGCGCTGGCGGAGCCGCTTCAGCTTGCTTTCGGTATTGATGTTACTTCTGCGCCGTTTCACAAGCTGTCTCATGCGTTGTTCCACCTCCGGCCTGCTCATGCGCCACCTGACCGGTCCTGGTCTTTGGACAGAGTGCTCTCTTTTCTTTCTTCTCCTCAGTTTGTTGTGGCCCCTTCAGTTCAGGATTGTTTCTCAAAAGCTTTTTTTCTGTTGGCATTGGCCTCTGGGGGTCGGGTTGGGGAGCTTCATGCTCTACTCTTGCGCAGAGGTTTCTGCTCTTTCAGTCTTGGTTTTGTCCATCTGCAGCCATCTCTTTCTTTTCTGGCAAAGAATGAGACTG